AATTTGTTACATACATTTGCATTTGTTCTGTTCATTAGGTTTAGAAAATACCATGAAAAATCATGCCAAATCAACAATAACTTTATATGATCAAAGAAAAGGAAATTTGAAGTATGGTACACAATCTAGAGTACAAATAATTTCAAATAAAAATAAGTATAAAATTAAAATAACGAAATTTAAAAACTTGCTGACAACCAGTATGACCAATATAATCCTGCAACATCTAAAATCCCACAATAAAAGTTCTAAATAATAAAGTATTGATCTGAAAAAAATCTAGAAGAAGATATCCATTATAATCATATTTATTCAACATTACACTGGTGGTTCTGGGCAAGATAGAGAGAGAAAAAAGTCAAATAAAATCAGACAATCAATCAATCAATAAGTAGACTGGGGATGTACCTAATTGAACAGGCCCTGGATACAATCCCCAATACTTCTGACAGGCAGGCAGGAAACTGGAACTAACAATGTGTAAATCAGCAAGGTTGTCATATAAAAGATCAATATACAAAAGTCCATTACATTTCTAAATACTATCAATGGACAACTGGAAGTTAAACTTAAAATATCATTTAAAAAGCATCAAATATTAAATAATGTTTAGGAACAAATTTGATAATCTCCGAATGCTTATGTAATAAGAAATTAGAGAAACTTTAAATAAAAGTACATTTACAATGTTCATGTATTAGAAGATTCAAGACAAGATGTCACTCTTCTCAAATCAGTAGAGTCAACACATTCTAAAATCCTGATAATCAAGTTTTTGTAAAAATTATAAGTGTAAAATTTATGCAGACATCATTGAGAGCTAGACTGGCCAAAGAAATTTTAAAAAAGAACACAGACAGAAACACCAATGGAACATAATATTTGTGTCATTTTAGAAAAGACTAAGTGATTCAGACATCTAAATTTAAAACCTAAAATGTTAATATTTTTTGAAAAATCTTCTAGAAAATCTTTGTACCTTGAGTTAGGTAAATAATTTATAAATACTAAATTAAAAGCATGATCTATATAAAGAAAAACATATAATATTGAACATTTTCAAAGCTAAGACATTCAGCTCTTTGAAAGTGCTACAAAAATAAAAAAAGTCACAGAGGAAGAAAAATTGTTTGTAAATCATATATCAGATAAAGGATTCATATGCCAAGATATAAAAAAATTCTCCAACTCCATAGTATGAAAACTAATACCCTAACTGAAAAAATAGGCAAAAAAGTTGAACAGACAATTCATTAAAGAAGATACATAGATTACAAGGAAGCACAGATGCCGGGTTTTATTAGCACTTAGGTAAATATAAATGGAAATGACAAAGCCATACATTGTCACACTTATCTGAATGGCTAAACTGAAGGAATATGCAGAGCTGGTGAGGACAGGAGGAACTGGAACAGTCTCATACTAACAATGGGAAAGTGACATGGCGCATCCACCTTTGAGCATAGCACGGCAGCGTGTTAGAAATGTCAGCATCCATCTATGACCTGATCCAGCCTTCCCACTCCTGACAGGAAAGAAGGCATGGACCACATGGATGCTTGTATGTGGATGTTCAGAGCCACTTTAGTTGTAACACCCAAATAGTAAAGGAACCCAGTGCCTATCAAAGAGCAGTAAGTGGGACTACCCATCCATTTATTACCTAACAATAGAAAGCAACGAGGCAGGTGGTGGAACCACTGAGCTTCTATAAAACGGAATACTACTCAGCCATGAAGAAAGAGAAATTAGTGTCATCCATAGGAAAGTGGATGCATATTGAAGATATACTCTAAAGTGAAATAAATAAGTCACACACATGTAAATACCGAATAGTTTCTCTGGCGTGAAAAACTATAATTGTACATAAGATCCTAATGGTATAATTGTCAATGTGAAATAGGAAGAAAAGGGCTAAAGGTATAGGGGAAGTGGGAGGGGTAGGGGAAAGGAAATAAGGGAAAAGAAAAAAATGTGAGAAAATGAAGTATTTGTAAATAGGGAAGGGAGGAGGGGGTGAAAGGAGAGCAGGTTGAAGGGGAAAAAATGAGAACCAAAACCTGTCGTGTAAAGATACAAGATCCCAATGATGAATCTAACTGTATTGTATACCTAAACTGTACCAATAAACTCAATGGGGGAAAAATTTACAATAGAAAGCAATGAACTATGGTTAAATCAAATGGACGAATGTTGAATGAAAAAAGATGAACAAAAGAAGAGTACTCTGCACACTTATACTAGCTTCCTGGTACTGCTAACAAATAATTTCAGGGTAGCAATTTAACATAATAGAAATGTATATTCTCTTACAGTTCTGCAGTTCAAAAGCTCAGGGCGAGTTTTTCTTCGTTAAAACTGAGGTGTCTGCAGTGTTGGCTCCCTTTAGACATTGTGGGGAGGAATTGTCTTACCTTTCCAGCCTCCAAGAGCCACGTGCAGCCGCAGGATCTGCTTGCACTGTCTCCTCTCCTTGACTATGACACTCTTCCCCTCTCAGCTCCTTTTAAGAACCTTGCAAAGATATTGCACCTACTGGGTTATCCAGGATACTCTTTCCATTCCAAGTTCCTTCCTTGACTCCATCAGCTAATTCCATTTTTCCATCTCGAGAAATACATTTGCAAGATCTGGGAATTAGGACAGCTGTGCCTTTAAGGGCCATGATACTGTGAGTCCACTTACACAAAGTTCTAGAAAACATAAATAAATCAATAGTGACAGTGAGTAGATCAATGTTGCCTAAAGCCAGGCAGAGAGGACAACCAGGTGTTCTCATAGAGGTAATAAATATCCTCACTCAATTGTAATGATGCTTTCCTGGCGGTGTGCATACCTGCAAATGTACCAAATATTTGCAATGTTCTTTATGTCAGCCCAGCCCCCCAAACATAAAATGAGTATATCTCATATAAGACATGAGAAAATTAATAATTAAATCAGTAATATTTTAGGGGGAATCATGGAAATAGGGAAAACAGGCTATGTGGTCAGCTTTCTGGCACAGTGACAAAAAGCATAAGGATAACAATTTGAATCAGGAATAGTTTACTCAGGCTTACCTACTTCCTAATTTCAGTCCATGGTGGCCTGGCTCTATTGCTTTTGGGCCTGTTGAGAGGCAGAAACATCAAGGATGCAATTTAATGGGCTATTGGGAGGTAGTAGAGACTTTAGAGTTGAGGCCTACTCAGAAGAAGAAATAGGTCACAGGAAAAATGAACTTGAAGGATAATTTTCTAAGAATATTAATTAATGACTTTATATTTTTCCGATCATGAATACATGATAAAATGTTCATCGTTATTGCTGAAGATTCTAAAGTGACTATTCAATTTTGGAAGAATAAAGGAAAAACTAGGAAAAAAATTCAATTGTTCAAACGCAAATGGGAAAGAATGAAAAGAAACAAAGGATTTTAAGGATCAAATCAAATCAAATAAAAAACATGGGATAGGAAAGTTACAAGAGATTCAACTACATAGGGCACCAGCCACATGAGTTAACTCAGTCGCCAGCTGGTCTGACCACCACTGAGACTCCATTTTTAATTACAGATTTCTGCTAGTTATGAAACAGATAAAGGCTATGTAATTAATCAGAAAGCCTGATATGGAAAGTTAGTATCAATGGTCAGTTGTAGTTCTATTAATCCTTGCACAGAATAGATTTTATTAAAGAAGGCCTGGTCATACCTGCCTTGTACCTGAGGACCCAGTGTGATGTGACCTGTCCACCGTGCACGTGGACCTGACCCACAGATGTCCAAAGTAGATAGGGGTGTGGAGAGGATGATGGCAAATATAATCACCCTGCACCACAAAGTTTCTAGGATGCAGGTGATAGCAAGTCTAAGAAAACAAAACTTGCATGAAAATATTGAAATAAAAGAACAATATCAATTAGCATATTGCTCAAGAAGCTGAAATAATAATAAACCAAAAGGTATAAAAATAAGAAAATAATTGAGAACAGAAAATACAGTAATTCCATGTAGGACAAAAGTAGAATTGAGTGTGGGAAGCTTATCAAAATCTGTTTTCTTTTTTAAAAGGAGCAACAAAATGAGTAGGTTTATTTTAGAAAGGTGAGAAAAGCTATGTATTAATTATAAAGGGGTCTATAACTACCGTGGAAAATATATATTATGTATATTTGCAAATATATGTCATAAAATATACATAAACCAATAATTTCTTACAATTTTAAATTTATATACGCATATATATCGAGACAAATAGACATGGACAACATTGACTTAAGAAAAATAGAACTGTTGAGTTTGGTATGCTTAAATGTCTTAGGCTCAAAGTTATTTAATTACTTTACCATCATATTTAATTATTTTCTTTTTCTTTTTTTCTCTTTTTGAGACAGGGTCTCACTATATAGTTCAGGCTGGCCTTAAACTCCCTATATAACCCAGGTAACTATTCTCTAAGAAACACCCAGTGTTCTCTGGAGGAATGATGCTCAGGTGAGTCACTGGGGCTGCTCTCAGGTGGCTCATGGGTGGCTTGCAAGGGAAGGGAGCTCAGTGGGAATCCAACGGGCTCACAGCCTGGGCTGAGAAAGGAGGAGGCTGAGATACCCCCTTGCAAGGAAAACAGACAGATCTTGGGTCCAGGAAGAGGAACAGGCAGCCATAGAGATGCAGGAGCACTGGGAGCTGCGAGTGGTTCTCTTCTAAGCCACTTCCAAGCTACCAGCGGTGGAAGCACGGGCAGATGAACCTGGAATGCAACCCCAGAGCTAGTGCTAGGGACAGGCGCATCTGAGAGACGTGGAGAGCCAGTGAGGGATGCCAGGAAGCAAGGTGAGATGTCAGCTCCACCCTGTATTTCTGCTTTGGAAAATCCATACTTGCTGTGACATCTCATGGAATTTACCCTGGGAGGAGGGATGTCCCCCAGTGCCATTCATTCTCCCCTGCTTGTGCTTCCCATAGCAGGCTTTGGGGAACCTTCCTCCTAGACTGGTGTGGAGCATATACCTACCCTGCAGCGCACTGCAGGAAGCAGGAAGAGGACTCCACTAGGTCCTTGCAGCAACCCCTGAGCTACACTTATTAATGGCATTACTTATCGTGAGCAGGCCTCAAATTATTGCCCAGATCACACAAGTGTTGAATTTGCACTTCAAAAATTTGATTTTGAAATTAAAGTGATGCGGTCACCATGGCGTTAAATTAATGCCATACTGAATGGATGGTTGATAGTCCTTTTTTCTTTAGTACATCTCAAACATTTTCAAAGAGAGTTTGTTAGACTGTTGTTTTGTGGCCTGGCTGAACAAAATTTTGGCTCTGCAAAGAAAATGTGAGATCACTTAGAGCTGAGTAAGAGGCAAGTTGCCTGTTTGATGCTGCACTTTGCCTGCAGTACATGTGGGGCGGTGAGGCTTGGAACTGTGAGACATACAGAGCAACAAGATGCAAGCGTTGGTATAGAGGGAGCACATGCTGAAAAATGTGATCTGATAATCGTGACACACTGGAAAAATGAAAACAAAAAGCCAGCCAAAACTAGAAGATTTCACACATATCAAATAACAGAGTATTGGACTATGAACAAAAGTATAAAATAACCACAAGACTGTACTGATATAAATAAATGATTGACTGAATAAATTGATAAATGGGAGAGATGAGATAATATTCTAAGTAGAGCAATTCCAAACAAGACAGAAGACACAGACCTATTCCTTAGGTGTGGACTGTGCATTGGGACTCCCTTTCACCGTGCAGTGTGTAAAGGAGTAACATTACAGAGAATAAACCTGACAACAGCTACCCCAGCCAGATGGGCAAGGTCACTGTCAACAGTGATACTCATGTTGCTGGTACATGGCCTCAAAAAGGTGTGAAGAAAGGGCGCTTTATCTGTGTGGACTTGTTCACCAGACCCACAAACTCCAGCTATGATGAAAAACACTAGGCAAATTTCAATAGAGGAGCAACCTGCCTCGTATCTTCCTTAAAAGCACCATGGTTATCTAAAGTAAGGAAAATCTAGAAACCATTCCGGCCAGGAGAAAAGGAAGAAGACATGAGAACTAAATGAAACAGGGACATGGGATCCTGGGATGGAAAGAGGAGTTCAGGTAAAAAAGAGAAGAAATCTGAGTAATGTGTGGACTTTAATTAGTAATATTATATCAATCGTGATTTATTAATTGTAGCAAAATGTGAGATGTCAATAATAGGAGGCTAAAGAAGGCTATTACCTGCACTCTTCAAATCCAAAATTTTTCCAAAAATTAAGGCAATTCAGACAAATGCAGACTATATCTAAAAATCATACTACTTTAGGGACTGGGATTTAGCTCAATGGTTCTGTCACCTGCTTCGCAAGCACAGAATCCCAAGTTCGGTCCCAGGCACCAACAAAATAAAATCGTGCTACTTTAGCATTCATACTAGAGCCACTGCCTCTCAGACAAATAGTTTTAATTTTTTTTTTATTACACGGAAGTAGTTACGAAAGATGCATTGCTAACTTTATCTGCTTTGTGGTTTTGAACAATGGCCAAGCAAATTCTCAAATTTGGTTTAAAAACATTGTTCACTGGTGGATGCCCTCTCTTCCAGCTGCCATCTGAAAATGAATTTTCACAGCTTAGTTTTAAGCACCTTGAAAATGGGAGTTCATAATGGAAGTGCTGACACAATGTGAATGAGGGCGGTGTGAATGCACGGCTATAATTTATAACGTCAGCCCATATTCCAAACACTCTATGCACTGTGCTTCACACAAATAAGAGAGGAAGGGACTGCGCTGAATTATTGTGCAATTAATCATTTGACCGTGAGGGATTCATTTACTAATTAAAAACGCAAAAAGAGTAAATTGAAATAACCAGTGACTACTAAATCACGTCTTCTGAAGCATCAGCTGTGTTGTAATAAATCATGTGTATCAATCAGAGCCAACACTTTGGGTACCTGTACTTCAAGACTGCCTCAAACATCCCCCTACTGCCTACAAAGACACTTTTCAGATGCGTCAAGCAATTTATGTCTACTATTCCTGTGTATGTATGTGTGCATGCATATCCATTCATATCGCTTTGTACTCTAAAAATGAAAATGCTCCCAGTAAAAGTTGAAGCGAAGAAGTATTATAAAAAATACCAAAACATTGATGTGCGTGAACACATGGCACCTTTGCACTTTATCACATCACCTTGTACAGTTACCAGGCAGCACAGCAATAACAACTTAGATTTTCAACAAAATTGTAGAATTTTCTCCTGAGGCATTTAGTGAAGCCACAAAGAGAAGACCCCTACACCGGACTGCCTCGTTGCAAAAGGTCTCACAGGGATCTAAAATCTCTGTTGTCTGTCGGTTCACCCGCCACACACCAACAGGAAGAGGAAAAGGAAGGAAGTTGCCTTGGTTTTCCGATTCTTCTTTCCTGATTCTTCTTTCTTCTGCACAGGATGCACAAGTTCACCCCGTGCCCTCAAAGACTGTGAGGGGATGAGAGAAGCCCTGAG